CCCTACATTTGAACCCTAAAGTTCAAAGTGGGGATCCAGCCTTGACAGCAGCAGAGGGGATTGGATAGCAGGTGGGGTCCCAGGGGGGTGGTTGGGAGCAGGGGGGTTCCAGGAAGGGGCGGTCAGGGGATGGGGAAGGCTGTCGGGGGGCAGGGGTGTGGATAGGCATCGGGGCAGTCGGGACAGGGAGCAGGGGGTGTTGGATAGGGGTTGGGGTCCTGGGAGGGGGCGGTCAGAGAACAAGGAGCAGGAGGGGTTGGATGGATCGAGGGTTCTGAGGGGGGCAGTCAGGGGGCAGAAAGTGGGAGGGGGCAGATGGGGGCGGGGGCCAGGCTGATTGGGGAGGCACAGCTTTCCCTACCTAGCCCTCCATACAGTTTCACAACCCCAATGTGGCCCTTGGGCAAAAAAGTTTGCCCACTTCTGTGCTAGTGCTTAGCAATCAACCAAGAACAGAGGACCCATTGTGCTAGGCATTGTACAAAAATAAACTAAGAGGCAGCCTCTGCCCCAAAGAATGTACAATAGAAGTAGACAAGACAGACAAAGGAGAGGGGATAGGAATGAACCCATAACCAGCGTGAACTATGTGATGACAGCAAATGTCATGTTAATTCCTACTTTTTTTGGGGGGTGTCCTTCAATGTTTATTGGTGTAGACAACTAGAGGTTGGGGATGTCTATGGTTTGCATTAATAAATAAAGGAAACACGGAGTTTGGAACAGAAGCTCATTTATCTCACTTTATTAAAGTGGACAAGTTTAGTCATGGTACAAACCTACTCATTAAAGCAATATGCAACAGCTCTTATTTTATTACTTTTTAATGCTCACCCCTCCTGCCCAATAAAAAATTGTCCATGTCCCTGTCTTTCAGTGGGGTTCTACTGGGAGGGAATTAGCTATCGGCTCTCAAACTGTGAGTTGGGACCCTGTTTTAATGTTAGGGTGACCAGATGAGAGGAAGAAAATATTGGGACACATTGGGGGAGAGGGGTCAGCCGGCGGAGGGAAAAAAAAAAAAGCTGAGTGCTGCCGGCGGACAATATCCAAAGATCGGTCAGGACACTGGACAAACACCTAAATATCGGGACATCTGGTCACCCTATTTAATGGGGTCACCAAGGGTGGCATTAGACTTTCTGGGACCCAGCTCTGAAACAGAAGCCTGAGCCTCACTGCCCAGAGCTGAAGCCAAATCCCAAGGGCTTCAGATCTGGGTAGCAGGGGTCAGGTTACGCATGCCCCCTTCCACCAGCTGAAGGCAAGCCCTTGGGCGTCCACGTGCTGCCTGCAGCAGTGGGTCTCCCCTCCTGGGGTCATGCAGTCATTTTTGTTGTCAGAAGGGGGTAGCGGTGCAAGGAAGTTTGAAAATGGCTGGATGGAAAGAACGACACAGGGAGGGGATGAGCGCAAACAGCCAATCAGCACCGGGGAGAGAGTTCCTGTGAAAACTGCAGAGAGCCCTGCAATCTGTTTGATATAAAACACCAGTGAGACAAGGTGAGGTAATAGCTTTTCTTGGACTAATATTACCTCACCCAGCTACTCTCTCTAATATCCTGGGGACTGCCAGGGCTACAACTGCACTGCATACATAAAACATCAGTGTCATCTCCCTGCTTGAACTGCTCCTGCACCAGGGCTGGCCCAGATTCTTCCTGGTAGTTTCTTTCCCCCAAGCCGGCAATGCTGCTAATAGCCAGGGTGGCGGTGGTGGGGCGGGTCTCTCAGTTCTGGGTTCAGGGAACTGTCTGGACCCCATTTGACCCCTCCCCCTCCAGCGCTGCATGACTTTGGCTTTGCAGCTGGAGAACGTCTCCGCCGAGCCGGCGGCAGGGCTGCCCGAGCGCTCCCACTGCAGCTCACTCAACCCGCCTCTCGAGGGACCCTCTGCTCATGCAAACTGATATCCCTGGGTCCCCCGCTAGCTCACGGGGGCCTGTCTCCGCCCCGCTTTTGCTGGCGTGCGCCGCTCTCTTAACACGCCTCCGCCCGGCCCCAGGGGACTGCAGCAAGACTAGCACCACTGCTGCATGTAAGCTAGCTGCGCGCGGGGGCTTTCAAAGCAGCAGCAGCAGCAACAGGACCCCTCCTAAGGCGTGTCTCCTGCATTGCCTGAGAGCCACGGCCGCTTTCAGAGCGTTTCATCTGGTTCCAGCATGCTTTATCCTCCGCTATTTCTCTCCTCCCCGCCTCAGCCTGCCCGCTCCCCGCCCACTGATTATTTAGGAAAAGCGCTGTACACAGGCTCTGCGGAGGCAGCTAAAGATAGAGAAGGACCCTACCCGCTATACTGGGGAGGTGGTGGCCGAACAGTCGCAAGCGCAGCAGCCGACAAGCGCCTGCGCCTGCTGACGCCTGTAAAGGTGGAGCCGCAAGACCAAGCGCGCGCCCTGCAGTGAGAGTAGGGGAGAGGACGGAGCGCGCGCACGCTGCAGCGTGAGGCGGGAAAAGAGGTGGAGGTCAGGAAGGGGAATTGTATCGCGCGCACGCGCACGGAGGTGTGTGTGAGTTGGACTTGTGCCGACGGAGGACACGCGGGCGGCCGGCGGCGCGGGGAGCGAGCCGGGTGCGGTGCTGGGAGCCGCCGCAGTCGCAGGGGAGCGCGCGGGAGTGTCGCGCGCCCTGAGAGCCGCCCGGCCGCGCGGAGGAGACGGCGGTGGTGGTGGCTCGGGGAGGAGCGGGGCGGGGCCCGGAGAGTGAGTGACACCCAGAGGCGGGCGCCGGCTGAGCCGGGCCGGGGCTGGGTACGCAACTTCCACGGGACTGAGGAGCCGCCGCAGCCAGGAGACGCCACTGAGCGAGCCCGCCGGGTCCCGCGGCTGCTGCCCCCATCCCCTCAGGGCAGACCGGGCGCCGGGGCCGCTGCGGAGTGAGTCCGGAGCGGCTGAAGTTTAGACCTGCCGCGGGGCGGGGACGCGGAGCCGCATCCATCCCCCGGGCCAGGGAGCATGAAAGTTCCGCTCCGGCCCCGCCGCTGCTTCCGGCTGCGTTTGGCGACAAGGAGCCACTGCCCACTGTGCTGAGAAGCGGCGGCGGTGGGTCCGTGCCGGGCCTGCGGGCTGGGGAGAGACGCCAGCAGCTCCACCGCCGGCCTCTGGGGATCCCCTCAGAAAGTGCCCGTGGCGCTGACGCCCCCGGTTGGAACTTCGCGAGAAACGAAACTTGAGGGAAATCGTGAAAAACACTGAAAACTGGAATAAAAAACAGCTCCCCGAAATCAGAGGATCCTGCAAATACCCCCTCCCCGACTGCGTCACCAGCAGCCTCACAAGGGAATCACTGGAGATTTAATTTTTTTAATGCTTTTGAAAGGATTTTTGTTCGTGTGTTTCTTGGTTAAAGGCCTTGTATTTCACCTTGCGGAGTTTGTTTGGGGAGAAGAACAGAGGGGAAAAAAACCTCCTTTCTGCTGGGCAAGACTTGGAGGTGAAACGTTGGTGGCTACTTCTCCAGCTGGGCACTTCTCCCCACCCTACCCCTCGCTTTGTATGTGTGTGATTTGTTTTTGGTATTGAAGCAGTTTGATTCTTCGCCTAATAAACTTTTTCGTTCAAATCCACGATGGAGCCTGGCAATATGGACTATTTCTGTGATCAGGTACAGCAGAAAGATGTGAGCCGCAGGATGCAAATCGGCCAAGAATTGCTGGAGTATCTGGCCGACCCCAGTAGATCCACTGACCTCGAGCAGGATCAGCAGCGCCTTGATAAAGTGATTGACGAATTAATAGGATGGGTTAACTCTAGTAATTTTAAGGTAAGAATGTTGTGCAGAGGTTGAGAGTAACAGGCTTTTTCATGTTAAAAAGGTATGGTGCTCTTAATTATCCTTAAATCCTAAATGAGCAGAACAGGACCCCAATTTCTCTTGCCTATCATATCTTGTTTCTTCCTTCCACAAAGAGAGGTTTTTCAGAAAAGTGGATTTTGTTGGTTGGAAAGATTATTTTACAGCATATTTCTGGCCTGTAAGAGGAGTTCATATTTTCTCCTTTCATGTTAGATAAAATTGGACTAGCATTTGTCATTTAAAATATTGCATTACGAAAAGTAATTTTATGGAGAGATGTTTTGGTGCATATTATTATTTATTATTATTATTTTTTTTGTATGGCTCTTGATTATGGGCAGTCAAAAGCAAACATCCCTGTTTTCTCACATTGTATGTCATCCTGATTTTTGACCCCTCCCATTCCATACACCCTATAGTCACTCAGGTACATATTTGCCTTTATTTTCAGTAGGCAATACAAGTGATCTTTCACTAAATGTGTAATGTATCATCTTTTCTGTTTCATAGGGGTTAACTAGTGATTGCTGTTTCAGGGTCCAAGTGTAAATTTGAGTTTATCCATACTATCTTTTGTATAGTTTTCCCAGTATGAGTAGTTATGTTGTATCTTTCTGGAGGTCTGTGGTGACTCATGTTTCAAATTTTTCTTTATGCATTTTTAGCTGAAGTGTACAAGAAAGTGCTAATTCTGGGTGCATGGAGTGAATGTGGGCAATTCTTTTGCTTTTGGATACCCAGTAGAAACATGGGCAACGTGGTCATATTGTCCACTTGGACGACTATTTAACTGCAGTTGCTTTGCACTTCAGTCAACTGGTGGCAGTGTTGCTCCATAGTGCTGGACTCAGGTCTGTTAAGTGAGCATAATGGTTTTTTGTTTTTGTTTGCAGGGGTAGTTCCATATACAAAATTGATTGCTGTGTACTTATGACTACTTGATTTACCAGTCATTTTGAAGTACCTCTCAAATTAATTCTGTTGATTTAATAGTTCTCTGAAAATTACAGCTCAACAGGCAAATATCGGAACAGTTAGTACAGTATAATAGTACGTTTGTGATGGTGGCACAGTAATTAAACTTGTTTTTTTTTTAAGCATTTATAGATGTTACAGATCTGTGAATTATTTTATAACATTTACACCTGCTTTTAGGATTGAGCTCTGGAAGCTGTCAATTTCAGCTATTTTCACAAGCACATCAATTATTACAGGTCACGTTAGTGTAGAGATGGCTCCTTATTGAATATTTAGTACAATTGTGTGTTCTTGGTCTTAAATTGCTGAATTTGGGGTAGAGATATTTCATATAGGCGCATAGCAAAATTGGGTAGGTTTGAAAGATAATGCTTTCAGTTTGGATGATGAGCAACTGATTACATTTTTCTCAGCAGGATGTTAATTTAAAAAAAGTTGTCTCTTAAGATAGGCAACAAAAACACGCATCACCTCTGTGTTCTCTGTAAAATCTCACAAAAGATACCATTAGCTACAGATAAATAATGCTCTTTTCAAAGTGTAACTTCTTTCTCTCACATCAGAATGTTCAGTTTGCTTTAGATGTAAAGATGACTGGGTGCCTTGTTCTTTAAGACTGGTGGAAAGGCAAGAAATATGTAGTATTCTAAGTTATCAAATACTGTACTGTACAAATAAGGCTCTTACAGAGCTTAATAGACTTTAATAATGTAAAAGGCTTGCAGGCTAATTAGGATTCAGTTTTGCATTCCCTAAGTGCACATAACTCCTTTGGCATTGAATTTTATACACACAAAGGGCAGGATTCTCTCCCCACCCCACTCTTCAAAAACAAAATAAAACAAGGATGTTACATCAACACAAGGGTAGTGGGAATTGCAATTCTGGACTAGTCCAATTGCTCAGTTAAACCAGTAGCCTGTCTGTGATGGTAGTCACCATGAGATGCTTTAAAGGAAGATTAAGAATCTTCTCCTTGTGCTTGAGGAGTTTGTGTCTTCTATACTTATTTTATCAGCTGCAGCAGTGGAAGTTATCCATTTAATTGTCTTAAGTTTATTTTAATCATACTAGATTCTTGGCTTGAATGATAGTCCTGTGTTAATGAATTCCACAGGTTAATTGTGTGAGAAAATGATTTTATTCATTTTCCAAGGGACTGTCAACTTGATTCTTTCAATGTTGAATGCATTTAAAAAATCTTAATCCTTCAGTACAGAGTTATTTAAAGTGTGCCTTTCATGACCTTTGATCTCGGAACTGAATGTAAACTGTTAAGGTGTTGGATTCATGAGACCACAGATACACAATTTCAGTGTGGTTGCTGCTGCATCAGTAGAGTGGAATTGCCAAGACACTAGTCATCTTCCTTGCAGCAGTGAAACTGAGGGGAAAAAACCCTATTTACATTAATTCTTTTGGGGAAATAGGATTCGCTTAACATCGTTTTGCTTAAAGTAGCATTTTTCAGGAACATAACTACAATGTTAAGCTAGGAGTTATTGTACCCCTGATTGAATCTTGGGGCGGGGGGAAGCCCGCGGTTGCTCTAGCTGCCCCGGGACTGCTGCCGGGCCCCTCCGAGCTGCGGCTTCTCCTGCCGACCCCAGGGCCAACCGCATCGGCCGCTGCTCAGATGGTCCCCAGAGCCAGATGCCCAGTGCAGCTGGCTGCGGGGCTGCCCAGTGCAGCTGGCTGGTGTGGCTGTCCCTAGGGCCGGCTGCTTGGGCTGTCCTGGGATCAGCCACACTGGCTGCGGCAGAAGTCACGGAGCTCTAATGATGATGCAGAAAAGGCAGAAGTGTTCAGTAAATATGTCTTGTATGTGGAAAGAAGCAGGATGAGGTACTCCTATCATTTGATGAAGTACTTTCCAGTCCATTCATAATTGAGAATGTTAGTTAACATCTAATAGGGATAAACATTTTTAAATCAGCAGGGCCAGATAACTTACACCAAAGAATCCTAAGAGTTGGCTGCGGTCTTTGATCTGATAATTTTTAATAAATTTTGGAATATGGGGGAAATTTTGGAATACTGGAAGAATGGTAAATGTTGTGCCAGTATTCAAAAAGGGCAAGTGGGATGACCCAGGTAACTATAGGCTAGTTAGCTTGACATAAATCCTGGGCAAAATGATGGAAAAGCTGATAAAGTATTCAATTATAGGAATATAGTTAATGCCAGTCAACATAGTTTTACGGAAAATAGGTGTTGTCAAACTTGATTTCATGTTTTGATGAGAAAGGTAGCTGCATGGATGTAATATACTTACACTTTTGTAATGCATTTGACTTAGTATCACACGATATTCTGATTAAAATGTTAACACAATATCAATAGAGCACAAGTTAAATAGATAAAGAACTGGCTAACTGACATCTCAAAGTAGTTGTGAAAGGGGAAATATTGAATGAGGGTGTTTCTAGTGGGCATCCACAGGGATCTGAAGCTATTCATCATCTACATCTGTGATGTGAAGTAACTATAAAGTTAGCAAAGATAAAATTTGCAGATTATGTAACATTGGCAGAATGGTAAATAATGATGACGGGCAGTCACGCAGAGCGATATGGATCGCTTGATGAGCTGGACCCGTTCAGACAAAATGCATTTTAATCCAGCTGAATGTAAAGTTTTACATTTAGGAACAAGAAATGCAGGCCATACCTACAAAATGGGGTATGGAAAGCAAGAACTATGAAAAGGATTTAGGGATCATAAGTGAACAAGCAACTGAATGCAAGTTCCCACTCTGATTCTATGGCAAAAAAAATTAATGCTACATTTGGATGTATAACGGGTGTAGCGAACAGGAGTAGGGAGAAGATTTAGTCTTTATTTATGACATTGGTGAGACAGTTCTGGTATCCATGTTTTAAAAAGCATGTTGACAAATTTGTAGCAGAAAAAAGCCACAAAAGATTTGAGGGCTGAAAAAAATTCCTTAGTTACTTGATTAGTGTGTAAGTACCTTGGTGCTGCATATTTTCTCCCCATGAAAGGACTCTTTAATCTAGCAGAGAGAGACAACAAGAACCAATGTCTGGAAGCTATAGTCAGACACAGCCTAACTGAAAATAAGGCATGGTTTTGTAGCAATTATGGTAATTGACCATTGGATCAGACTATCAAGGATCTCTTGACGTAGTCATGTAGAGACTGCATGCCTCTCTGGAAGATATACTTTAGCCAAAACACCAATTTTTGGACTCCAATACAGGAGTAACTGGGTGAAATTTAATGGACTGTGAGATATACAGGAGATCAGACTAGATGATTTAATTGTCCTTTCTTGTCTTAAACTCTACAGATCTCTGATAAAATCGAACCCTTGGTTCTGCCTCATCTCCATTGCATGAAGTGCCTCTTCTGGAACCAGAATCTATACCAGATTCAAAATCTGTGTCTGTGTCCCTTGGTCCTTTGTGCAGCTTCTTTCTGGGTGTTGTCCCAATGCTGTTCAAAGAGAGTGTTTTCAAAAGAAGGTGCTTGCTTCTAACCCCCAAGGCCATCAATATGTCTGCTCTTCTTTAGTGAGCCCACTTGACAAGTTTTATTGTTCTTGGGTCTGGCTTCCGTCCCCTCTCCAACTGCAGCTGTCTGGAGGTGCTTGCCTTCCATGCCTTGCTCATTCACACCTTATTCATTCAATAGGGCAATTGATTAAAAGGGGGGGGGGATGGGGGAAATCTTATTCTACTCCTAGCAAAAATAAATTTTTTTAACATTATACCAAGGCTCAATACAAAGTTTTCTATATAAGGATATGATACAAAGTTGTATGAAAATAGAGACATAATACAAAGTCATATGAAAGTTATGTGAAGATGCTTAATGCAGAGATTTATCTACATTGTCCCCCTTTTGACCTCTCAAGAACAATTCTTGAGTGGTCACCATATAAATCTTCTGTATCTGTTTTAAAGCTATGTATTGGGTCATGATTTCAGCCTGTGGTTTCAATTTAGAATACATCTGTTTTATCC